CCCGAGCTCGCCTTGCCCACCATCATTCAGGTGAGGCATACTTCAAAGTGATCTTAAAGCAGACTAGAATTTATTTTTTGACTTAGCAATTGTCTAAAAAAGTGACACTGACACTGAGTGCTATTCCCAAAGTTTATCACCTGAATATATGATTCAGGATCTGCTGAACCGAATCAGCTTCCTTTAGGGGAAACAATAATCATCCTTTGTGCTTGTTCTTACCTTCTCATGCACCTCCTTCATGTCCCTGCAGCTGAAAGCGTTCCTGAAGGAATGCAAAGTGCCCAATTACTCCAAGCCGGTGCGTCAGCTGTTGGAGAAGATACAGGAAAACAGCAGCCACATCACAGGACGGAGACAGAAGGCCACGTTTGGAGTGGCCGATGCCACCGCTGTGGTGAGTGGGTCTGGTTTGTGCGATGATTGTTTGGCCCTTCTATTCACTGGCGCTTTTGCAAACCTTTAACATAGAAATGAGTTGCAAATACAGAGCAATGCTCTTCCATTAATCCACATAATAAGGTCAAATAAATAATATGTTGAAAATGGCACTAAATAGGTTTAAATTTTAAAACTACTCAAGGCCAGTTAAACATAAAGGTCATCAACAAAATGCAAGATGGGCAACAGAAAAAAACAGAAAAAAACATTTTACTGTTATATTTGCTTCCAAGCTAGACTTATTTTCATTTTAAAAGCAGACTTGAGCAACAGTTCTCCAGACTTTATGAATATCTTTTCAAATGTTTCTTTGGACATGAAATGGTATGTAACTCAATGCATGAGCCAGTGTTGTGTCTACACATGACTCATCTATATGTAACATACCATTTGCCACTTTGTTACTAGTAGCCTGTCACAAAAACGGTTCCCATTCCTTTAGTTGAATCTATAAATAACTGCCAAAGATAACACACTTTGACAGGCATAAAATACTATCTTTGCACCAACAAGGTGATTCCCAAAGAGCTATTAGATTTTTAAAAATGTCATTCCTTGAAATGGTGTACTGTGTGTTGAGGGCAAACAGTATCTGAAAGTCATGTCCTGGAAAAATATGGGAAAGCATCCTGCAAACACCTGACACAGAACTTGAGAGATGCATCTGACTCCTTAACTGATCCATACAGTTCCCTGAAGCCTCATCACACCTTCTTAGTGGAGGGCTGGTTGTCAAAAAGCAGTTGTTATGGAAGGGAAACATAAAGAAAGGGCCAAATTACACAAGAACTAGACTGAAAATCAGTAGCAGCGCGTATGATGGAGCGATAGATCCACATTTTCAAATCATCAACATCAAGGACGTCTGGACAGAGGTACAACAGTGAGTATTTACAGTCATCTATAAATAAAATACAGCCCTTATGGATAATAATTATTGGCTCGTGTAACTATATGTTTAACAATCATATTCCAGTATTTCTAATAAGAGCACCAGAGAAATCAAGTTGCAGGGAAAAATAGCTTTTTACATTCCTTTGGGATAGTTTCCAGTTGAGCTACGTGCTGCAGGCCATCTAACAACAGATCATCTAACGCCACAGGCAGAAGCTGGTAATGGAGAACACCTCTCTATATAAACCTTAAACTCAGGTAAGAATGACCCTGTGCTTACTCCGGCTGTAGACCCCAGGAGGTCTCAAAGGGCCAGTTATACACAAGATGCAGGTACCAGTAGTGCTTCACTGAGTTACTGTCCAGTTTTCAACCTAATGAACTGTATCTCCCATATTCATACTGGACAGTTTTCCTATAAATAGACTTATCAATAGCTATAAGGTTTGAACTAAGGGTGGTGCCTGATGCAGGTTCTTGGGTATAAGACCTTGGCTGTGCAGACAGTGGGACGGTGGGTTTACTCCATCCAGTAAAGGTTAAAAAGTGAAAACATAAGCTCTGAAAAGAAAGTAAGAAACTACAAATTAGATATTTGAAGGACATTTCTACCAGCAGTTTTTGTGCAACACTATCTGAACCTCTGCTGCTGTATTAACATAATAATAAAATTATATTATCTATATTGTATTAGTAGTAGGGAGTATAAACTTGATTTTAGAACTTACCTTCACAGCTAAAAAGAAAATTCAAGAGTTTTAATAGGATTTTAACGGAGGGAACTCTGAGATCAGTTATAGTAATCATTTCTACTGAGACAGTGGGTTTTTCTTTGTTTACATGTTATAATCAGCTGACCTGATGCTGCTGCTCTGAGCTTTACTGCTCTTTGTACATTTAAAACTGAATTCAACTAGTTATAAGCAGATGCTTCATAGACTGTCTTGATTTCCATCCTCTACACTGACAGCACCCTGTTTATACTGTCTTTATGCTAGAAAGTATACAGTTGGTATAAAGGCCGAATTCAATGAATGAGTCTCAGCATCATTAGCTTAAATTCAAATTCATCTCTGCTGTATGTAACCTAACACTGGTCATGAGCACCACAGCCACTGTGCACCAGTCCAACACAGCGCTTTACTGTAAATTTACCACAGTACTGCAAGCTAACCTGTTTATCCTGAACTTAACTGCCAGGTATTTTCATACAAACCCTGGATAATGCAAAGTTATTATACTGAAGTGTAACTTACCCCCAAAGTGTAGCGCTTCAATCAATTACATGTTTTTGCCTCTTTCATCTCTTTGTATGTGATAAGCCCTCTTGGTGGATAAACCAGTCGGATTATCTTTTATGTGTTACCGTTCCCTCCATTTAGGCTCAAATCAGTTTCATGTTTGAATCTCCCAGACTTGTTAAACCTAAAGTAACGAGCCTGTTTTGCAAACATAAGGAGTAGAAAGTAGAGGCATCTGTGTGAAAATGTAGGAAGTAAAAGTAAAAAGTTGCCAGAGAAATAAATACCCAAATAAAGTACAAATACCTGAAAATCCTACTTAAGTACACCAGAACTTTATAGGGTTAGGTTTATAGGGTTTTCTACAAACCGAAGCACTTTATCACCCATCTTCCTCGAATCCACGACCAGTTTCACTCAACATGCGCGTCTTTGGACTGGATTTTGGAGTTCACCACAGACACTTCACTACAAAGAGTGACCTGCAATAGTGGTTGTTCCACAAATCTCTCTAGAACATGCAGACACAGTCTCTTTACAGCTTGCACCGTCTGTAGATCACAAACTATGCGATGACGATGGTGGATCTGCTGTAAGATTAAAGAATTTGCATCACAAAGAGCAGTGCTGGCAACATAGTGGGCTGTCCAGGGCAAAGAACGTTGACTTTGTTAGCTTGTAGTACTGGTGCTACAAAGCTTGCTAGTTTTGTAGCACCAGCATGAAATGTTTGTTAAAATCCCTAATAACCAAAAGCAGTGCAGTTCATTACTTAAACACACTGACAGTAATGCGTAATATGAACACACAATAACTAGAAATCTTTTTAGACAAATGTGTTTGTCGGTAAACATGCAAACACAATAACTAGTATTAGTGTGTATAACACATAGGTGTACAAGTATACATACTGCATGTATGTGTGTGTGTGTGTGTGTGTGTGTATATATGTGTGTGTATATATATGTGTGTGTTTTAGTGACATACATGTGTGATATTTGAATGTGTCTGTATGTAACACCTCTATAATTACAGGTGTCAGTTGTGTCAAAGTGGTGGATGTCTAGGTGACATCCACAGTAACAACTTGCCCTTTCAGCTCCATGCCCTTAAAATCATATCAACAACAAAATAAACACCAGTACGGTAACTGAAGAACGTATTCAGGAAATATTTTCTCTGATACGACACCTGAATGGTACCTTTCTCTCCCTCAGACTGC